ACCTATTTTGGTCATGTTGTAAGAAGGGACCATTCCCTGGAGAAGGATGTCATGCTTGGTAGGGTGGAGGGTCGACGAAAGAGGCGGTGGCCTTCAACGAGATGAGTTGACACGGTGGCTGCGATGATGGGCTCAAGTATAGCAGGGATTGTGGGGCTGGCACGGGATTGGACAGTATTTTGTTCTGCTGTGCATAGAGTCGCTATGAGTCAGAAATGACTGGAGGCACTTAACAACAACAACAACAAGACCACATTCCCAAAGGCAGCTGGGAATTACTACAATCAGCTGCCCAGCCACTCAACCAGGCCCAGCCAAATTGACACACAAACATAACCATCACAGACTCTTTCAAGTGCTAAAGAGCAAAGATATCTTCTTGACGACTAAGGTGTACCTGACACAAGCTATGGTATTTTCAATCACCTCTTATACATGTGAGAGCTGGACAATGAATAAGGAAGACCGAAGAAGAATCGATGCTTTTGAGTTGTGGTGTTGGTGAAGAATACTGAAAGTACCAGGGACTGCTAAAAGAACTAACAAATTTGTCCTGGAAGAAATGCAGTTGGAATGCTCCCTGGAAGTGAGACTGGCCAGACTTTGTTCCACCTACTTTGATCATGTCATCAGAAGGGACCTTTCACTGGAGAAGAATATCATGCTTGGTAAAGTGGAGGGTTGATGAAAATGAGGAAGGCCCTCAGCAAGATGGATTGACACAGTGGCTGCAATGATGGGCTCAGGTATAGCAAGGATCGTGGGGCGGGCACAGGACCACGCAGTGTTTTGTTCTGCTGTATATAGGGTCGCTATGAGTCAGAGATGACTTGATGGCACCTAACAACAACAACATACTTCAAATACATTAATTCTTCTGCTGTCTTCCATATTCATTGTCCATTTTTCATATGCATATGAAGCAAATGAAAATACTAAGGCTTGAGTCAGGTACACCTTAATCTTCAAAGTAATACATTTGCTCTTTACCACTTTTAAGAGGTCTTTTGCAGCATATTTGCCTAATTCAATACATCATTTGATTTCTTGACTGCTGCTTCCATGTGCATTGATTGTGGATCCAAGTGAAATGAAATCTTTGACAACTTCAATCTTGTCTCCATTAATCATGATGTTGCTTTTTGGTCCAGTTGTGAGGATTTTTGTTTTCTTGAGGTTGGGATGTAATCCACAGCAGCGGCTTAAGTTTTTGTTCTTTATCACCAAGTGCTTCAAATCATTTTCACTTTCAGCAAGCAAGGTTATTCATCTACATGTTACAGGTTAATGAGTCTTCCTCCAATCCTGATGCCACGTTCTTCTTCATATAGTCCAGCTTCTCATTTGCTCAGCATACAGGTTGAATAAGTATGACACACTCCCCTCCTGATTTTAAGCCATGTAGTATTTCCTTGTTTTGTTTGAATAAAAGCTTCCTAGTGTATGTATATGTTCCTTGTGAGCACAATTAAGTGTTCTGGAATTCCTATTCTTCTCAATGTTACCCATAATTTGTTATGATCCATATAGTTGAATGCTTTTGCATAGTCAATAAAACACAAATAAACATCTTATCTACTGCAACTAGTAGGCCTGGTCTTTTTTATGATTTTCAGTTTTGTTCCATATATCCCCCCCATTCTATTCAGGAC